GCCACGACGGGCACACGTGTCGCAAAACGGCCTCTCGCCCGAACATTTTATCTTTCGCTTTCGACAGTTTTCGCAGCTCAGAGGTACCCGAGGTTGCCGTTTGTCGACATGCGGCGCCATCTGACACGGAGCCGCTTTTGAAGACTCTGCAGGTGGAGGGACGAAATAGCAACCCTTCTGATGACCAAAAGGCCACAGTAAAGGCGGCGGGCGGTATCCTCAGCAGTAGATAGAGCACAGTGACACTGTGATGTGAATTGAGCAGGAAGTTGAAGGCTGAAAAACAGGATGAAGCAAGAACAAGTGCCGGAGTAGGGAGATATTCGTCAAGTTAAGCATTGAGAAATGAAATCCGGGGCCGGGAGCCGGGTCTGTTTAAGTGTAAGACGTGTAACCTGGGGGCGACGAACCTGCCTAACTAAGTCCAGGAGGGGCACATCCGGCGGCAGCTTCCAGGGCACCAGGAATTATTCGGGACGAATGTAGCTTCACTAGGCACAACTGGGAACTGCTGGGCACCCCTGACTGCCTAGTGAGCCTAAGTCCTACTGTAGGTCGCTAGGGGTCCTCAACTACGCTACCTACAAGCACATCTAATGCCGCTCCCCCACTCGAAGCCCCAGGTCGTTTACGGAAGTAACTACGGGTATCACAACAACTAGATTCATCCACATCCCTGCTTATGCCCTTACTGCCTGATTCCCGTTGAGCACAACGGACCTCTAAAGCGACCCCATGGTCCAAATAAAACTCTATCTAGCTCTAAATCATCTGAGTCGATCGAAAGACCGTCGTGGATACCCGTACCTCCGAGGGAGGCATTTTGCAACTTCCACCAGCCACCAACGACTTTCCACCTTCCACCTTCCACCTCCTGCCCTGGCGCAATTCGTTTCTGAAAAGGGGGAGGCTGTGGCTACTGCTTACGCAGGAAGTCGCTGACAGCCGAGCAGACACTCTCGGTCGCTTCAAACAGGTGCCAATGCGCGACACGCGAAAGCACAACGACACCCTCACAGTTGGGGATTTTCTTCTCCATCTTCTTGCACATCTCCGGCGGGGAGACTTTATCCTCGTCTCCTGTGATAATCAGCACTCTTGCCTTCAGTGCCGAGATGTCCAATATGTCCGTGACTGAGTCTGCCAGTGCTATGCAAGCCTTCGCATATCCTTCGGGGTCCTGTCCCAGTAGGGATATTCGAGCAGCGGCAATCGCCAGAGGATTATGTGCCTTGGTGTAATCAGATGTCCCTGCACCAACGACAGCATCCACAACTCCGAGCATGCCCTTTTCACGAGCAAGGGCGGCCCTGGCATATGTGGCTTTGCTGGCGGCTTCGGGGAGCGGTGAGGGCCCAGGCCCTTGCAGGATGAGTGTCTTGACCAAATCCGGATGATCCAACGCCAGTTTCATCGCGATCAGACAGCCCATCGAATGTGCCACCACGGTCAGTCCTGACTCGGCGTTGATTCCAGCCTGACAGCAAAGTTGATATGCATCTGAAGCAAAGGACGCGATGCTCAGCTTGCTCGTTGCGGATGTCGGTGACAGGCCATGACCCTCGAGATCGGAAAGATGATATGTCCAAGAGTCCCCCAGCCTTGTCATCACAGGTCCAAAATAATCCGAAGTGCCGCCCAGACCGTGGATGAAAAAGATTGGCCGCCCAGCACCGTCACCGCCTTTTCGCTGGTAGAACAGCTGTTTCGAACCAATAGAGATCAGGCCACGACCCTCGATCGTCCGGTCATTTGCGACGGGCACCGCGGAGGACACAATATGATTGAAAATAGGACTTCTCGACTCCGGGCTTGCAATGCGGTTGGTCAATGTCCCCAGGCCGGTCACTGATATCTTGACCACGTCTCCAGGATGTAGCCACAGCTTGGGTTCGAAGCCAAAACCAACGCCGGCGGGCGTTCCGGTGGCCAAAACATCTCCAGGCTGTAGTGTCTGTGCCGCGGATAGTGTCTCGATCAAGGTCGGTATGCTGAAGATCAAGTCGTTAGTTGTACCTTCCTGTCGCTTTTCTCCATTCACGGTCGTTGTAACAGTGAGATCCTTTGGAAGATGTTCTTTTGGAACGGCTATCGGGCCTATCGGGGCGAAAGTATCAGGGCTGCGGAAGACTGTTAGCCACCATCACGAGCAGTGGAATAGAGCGGCGCGTAGTCCTTCGAACAGAGGCCCTTGCAAGGAACAGGCCACTCACGACTTTCCAATGTAGAACTGCTTGTGGTCTCGCTGTCGTTCGCGCGCCGTCACATCGTTGATGATGGTGAAGCCCCAGACATGGTCCAGGGCATCCTTCGCGTTGATCCTAAATCCAGACTTGCCCACAATGACGCCGATTTCGCCTTCATAGTCCACCGACTGGGTGAATGCCGGATGGGGATAGATCTCATCCCCGTCGGCAATTGCAGAAGTCCACCGCTTAGTGAAAATAACAGGATGGGTGGGCATGTCGACCTTGTCGGAGCTGTCATAGCTGTAAAGGTCAAGTGGTTAGCACGTTACCTGGTATTCAGCCGTTGATTTTGGAGTACATACCCCGAAGCGTTGAATTCTTTGGCGTGGGCCTGGAGAACACCAGTATTAGTGACAGGCAATGCCCATGTCACAGGGCAGTCCTTACCGCATAGTTCTTTCCAACAGCAAGAATATCGCGGCCATAGATTGGGGGTAGCAACCTCGCCTTGCTTCGTGGAAAGGGCTCTCCGGCTTGGACAAAAGCACCCTCACCTGCTTCGATCACTTCGTAAAGGCTCCTTATTGGTGTCCCAGAAAGGTAGGAAAGAGGTGTAATGGTATTGGATTCCAGATCCAGATGCCCAATCCGCGGCTGTCTGCTTCCTTCTGGCACGTAGGATGCATAGTTGGTCAAGCTCTTCCGAGCGCGAGCCACGCCGCTTGCAAAAGATGCAGACATTAATCTCAGTAAGAAAATCTACTTATCTGGGCAAAAGAGATATTTCCGATGTGATGGATATAGAGGTATTGAGGGCAGTAAGACAATTTTCATCGTCAATTGAGCCTGACCATGTTTTGCCCCGTCATCACCCGTGACATGGGATCTGCTTTGATGCGGCGTCAGGGTTGAATGAGAAACAAGGTCGCCAGTTGCCCACCGGGTAATGACGCCGGTGTGATTGCCGATGGCCCAGGAAGGAGAGCGAGACATACGAGGTAATACGCTCCTCGATAGGATACCGGACTAATAGGTCTATCGTCCTGCGCCGCGTTCGCCCGCCTTTCTCCGGCCATCTTCTCTCCTCTCCACCACACATCTAACATCATCTCAACCATCTAAACCTTTTTCTCTCCCCTGCCCAACGTTATTGGGAAGGTCCCACCATAGTTTTGCCCATCGAATACCAAGGAAGTCTATAACCAAGTCCATCAGCATGGTTTGCAGGCACCGCCTCGTCTCAACCCCACAACTTGGCTAGAGCAGGCTCTGGGACCTCCAGGATGAATGGCTCCGTCGACACAAGCACCTCACCGCCGCCTGTGTTTCTTGTTTCGGCTGCATAGGACGAGTCTTGGTCGATTTCAAGCGCCGATCCAATGCGCGGTATGATGCCGAATACCATCTACGCCCGGGGTGATGCCGCTTCAACGCGATGGTAAGAGTGCGCTCCAAGGAGGCTGAAGAAGGTCAGAGACGATCTCATTAAACCTGCAGTAACGAAACACTTCTGGAAGCATAATTCTTGAAAACTTCCGAGCAGAAAAGACGGGTCACTTGGATCTCTCGTCGTTCTATCTGAAGCTGTCTTGATTGCACTGCATAAAGTCTGTCAGCAAGATGTCCTCATACAATTCGGCAGACCAGCTTGAAAAGTCCGTTGCCGCTCACGAAGAGGGATCGCGTGTGGAGCGCGTGCGCACGAAGGGCGGCCATGAAGACGATAGAACTCAGCCCGCTCTCCCAGTGGTGCACCGATCATTTGCAAACCCAGCGCCCTTGGGACTACTCTCTTTCGCAACGGGTATGCTTTCCCAGAAACAGATGAAACTTGGATCCAATGACTGAGGTGTCGAAGGAATATTTCTCATTTCTGCCTACGGCGTCCATGTTCGAAATATCTATACCCCCAACGTCCTCGTGGGCATGATTACGTTCTTTGGAGGAGTATGTCAGTACCTAAGTGGCATTATGGAATTTATCTCAGGGAACACGGTAAGGATCTATAACCCCAACCGCGCCGTGCTTTGAATATTAACTTGTCCTCTCAGTTTGGAGCCACGGTCTTCTCATCCTATGGAGCTTTCAACGTAGCTTATGCAATGATATACATCCCTGGTAGTGGAATTCTTGCTGCGTACACCGATAAGGCAACAGGCCAAATTAGCCCCGAGTTCAATCAAGCTATCGCTATGTTCCTGTGGGCTTGGTTTATCCTCACTGTAATATACACGTAAGTCTCCTCGAAGCCATGCCCCAGTACTGACGGAAATTCGAGTCCGTTCAACTTTTCAATATACTTCGATGCTAAATAGAATCCAGAGTCGCCGCATGTCGAGCTTCATGGGTCTTGTTTCTGGATCTTGCCTTCCTTGATCTCGACCTTCTGTTGCTGGCTTGTGGCTATATGTTCAACCGCCCCTCATTGCTTATTGCTGGAAACTCGGTTGGTTTTGTGGTGGCATTCTTGACCTGTAAGTCGCCGTACCACATATAAAGTGGTGCTCCACTAACCAGGGTTCACTTTCTAGACTGGGCTGGAGTTGCTGGACTCTACGCAGGGGGCGTTACGCCTTTCAACATACCTACTTTTCCAATGTACAAGGAGAAGAAATGAGATATGGGCTCAAAAAGGTGGCAGCTGGTGCGCCGCCAGAAAATATGCCGCAGAATTCAAGAACATCAGGTCTGAAGGAGCAATTCGAGTCATACATGGGAAGTAGGATTCATTCTGGCTATCTATCGGATGCGCGTATATACGAGATGGCCCGTCCCTTCTCTCTAGAAAAATCGTAACTCGCCACAACTCTTCTACCAGCCATCATCACCGAGTTTTGATAAGCCGACGTATCTGACTGGTTCGACAAATCTGTTCTTGATGCCCTCGGTCCTCCCGATCCTGAGGGCACGGCCATATTGCTCCATGATGTTCTTGCCATGTAACCGCCAAAACTGCCATGAACAATCCTCTCCAACAAAGCTGAGAATGACCTGTTGCCCCCCGGGGTGTTCAGAGATGAAATCGCTGCAATCAAAAACGATATCGTCAATGACGATCCAATGTTCGTCGTCGTTGTTGTTGTCTTCTTGCTTCCCTTCTCCGTCGTGATTATTCCCTTGGTCTCGCAATGGTTTCTTCGACTGCTTGCCGCGTTCGAGCACCGTTTCCTTCGGGATGAAAGGAAGTGCATCGTCTGATAGTGACTCGGGAGCAAAGGGGAATTGTTTCCTGGTGCCAGTGCCGGTACCGGTAGTGCTTGAGGACGACCTCTTCGTTACATCGTCCTCCTGGTCACTGGCACCGTCCACGTCTTCCACATGAGCAACAACCTTGCCATCTTGTTTGAGAGGACTATTACTACTTGTCGGTCCAAATCTGCCCCTTCGTGATGCTTGCACCCATCCCATGACTTTGGCTGAAGACCTAGGCGTTACAACACACTCTTGATGGCAGAGCGTTTACCCCTCACGGAAAATTGTGCCGCCAATGGTTTCTTTCCCAACCGAGCGACGCGGGCGTGACAAGTGCTCAGTACATACAGTATCTTCAAGTACATATCTCCCTTTGCCCACCCCTCCCCTCTCAGAAGTAGCCCGTCAATCCCCGTCCATTCCCGGCGGGGATCCTACTCGCCACGGATGATCTTTTGGTGTGTGAATGGTTTCGATAGGGATGTGACAAGGATCCGCCCTTGCGCGTGGAATCCAATCCTAAGCAACGTCACCAATGTGCGAATCACATCTACGGGGATCCAACCCCTCTCTTTGCTGCAAGACTGAAGTGTTGACCTCCTACGTGGATGCCTATGGGTGGATAAACGCGGGGACCTAACTTGCGGGGTGCATGAGCAGCAAGAAGGATTCGGCACAGACGGATGGAAGTAGTTTGACACCTCGCATTGCGCACATGTTGAGGAGAGGAGAGCCGTGTCCTGTTGGGCTAAGAGCGCTTGAGAGGGTTTGAGGATCCTAGGAACCGGCAAGATGCCATCCGTGCAGTAGGTGGAGGTGTAGGCAGTCCAGATGCGCTGCCCTCCTCAACCCCCCTTTTGCCCGACTGTTTTCTCGATCAAATACCATATCAAAAGACGCCGTACGTGAGAAAATATATCTGGCGAGGTTGTGTTACTTGACCGGGGAATCCGGAAAGATACTCTTGGAAGTATTTTTTTTTTTTGTTCCATCCCGTCCTGAACTGCTCCCGACATGGCTCCAGCAAGGATCGTGGAAGATGTCCCGTGGACATCTCCTGCGTATCAACCCGAGCCTTACGATGGTCCTCCGCGCAACGTCGCGTATATTGATGCCATCAAATTCAACGAGAGCGTTAAGCCTCCCAAGTACGAGATCCTGGGCACGGATCCCAACTCCAAAGTCCTTTTCCTTGATGTAAACATCCTGGAATGCACGGGAAAGCCAATTTACCGAGGCGACGTCTTTATACAAGGTAAGACATAGAGACAGATAGGAAGAGACGGACGTCTTGGACGAGGGGGTGCTGTCCTGGCCCAGTGTTGTCCTACCCGAATGTGTTCGCCCGCTAACTTCTTATTTCAGGTGAACGGATCAAGGCAGTCGGTAATGTCGCCAACAAGGACCAGTTGCTGAAAGACCCGGATGTTCGAGTGTTCCAAGGAAAGGGAAGGACCCTGATGCCGGGCTTGGGCGACTCGCACACCCACTTCTCCTGGAACGGCGGCGACCTCGCTTCTCTGGGCACCTTGAACGTTGAAGAGCACACGCTTTTGACGGCACGGAGCGCGAAGTGCTACCTAGATTCCGGCTACACCATGTATGACATCTTTTTTGTGTCTCTCCGGATGTTGAGAGGAAAATCCTGATCTTCTTTGATAGGTGTTACGGAGCTGCATCTGCAAAGGAGCGGCAGGACATCGCAATTAGGGACGCTATCTATGCCGGTGACATTCCAGGACCGCGGTCTCTCGCCAACGGCAAGGAAATGGCCAAGCATGACGGTGACCTGGAATCAGCAATCACAGCATTTGCAGATACCCCCGAGGAGATGAGAGAAGTCATTCGACATCATGTTGGCCTGGGGGTTGACAACATCAAATTGGTCATGTCCGGAGAAGAGGTAGGCCGAAAAAAAGGCCTTCGAGCCGCGATATGTCCACTTATTACTGACTCGGGCCCTTTAGATCTGCGAGGTACGATCAGCCCAAGACTGCTATTTCACGGACGAGGAGACGGCGGCCTGTGTGGACGAAGCACACAAGGCAGGAAAATCCATCTGTGCTCACGCAAGAGCGAGAGATTCCGTAAAGATGTGCATTAAGGTGAGTTGCATATCCCACTCATCCACAGTCCGAAACACTCGAGATGGAGGGACTCACAATGTCGTTGCAGCATGGAGTGGACGTCATTTATCATGGGTCGTACATCGACGAAGAAGGCATGGACATGCTGGAAGCTGCGAGGACGAAGCATGTTGTGGCTCCAGCAATCAACTGGCTCGTTGCAACCTTGAACGACGCGGCGGCTTTCGGTTATTCACACGAGAAGGCCGAGCAAGTTGGTTATAAGAAGGCAAGTCCCCAGCCGCAATGACACGACTGCCTCAAACACATCAGTTGACTTGAGTTAAATATGCTAACTCAAGGTCAACAACTAGGAGCTTGAGATCGCCCTGCGAGGCCTTCGTGAAATGCATCGGAGAGGTATTGTGGTTCTCCCGGGCGGGTAAGTATGCTCCTGTGATTCTCTCACCTCGTCTACGCGGACGGCCGCTAAGCTGTCGCGCATTAGTGACTATGGATTCGCGTGGACTCCTCATGGAACCTATGCTCGTGATTTGGCCCATTTCAAGAACTTGATGGGCTTCACCGCCCACGAGTCCATCATCGCCGCTACCTACGGCGTGGCCAAACTCATGATGCGAGCCGACGAGATGGGCCAGATCAAGGAAGGCAATTACGCAGACTGCATCCTGGTTGACGGCAACCCGATTGACAACATCGACATCCTCCAGGATCACGGCAAGTTGAATGTCATCATGATTAATGGACGTATCCACAAGGCTGGGCGCAAAGAGTATGTGCCGCCGCCTGTGGCGGGAGAGGATCAGAACAAGCATCCCATTGTGCCGGATGTCGCGGTTCGAGATGGAAGACCAACCATACAGAGTTAAAGTGACGGCATTCTGAAAGCGAGGATGGGAACATGGTGGAATTGACCCAGGAGGAAAATTTGTGTATGCTAGGAAATGCCTCTATCGAGTCTTCGTCCGTCATTTGCTGTATGCGTCAATCAATTAAGGGTGAGGCGAAATGTCCGCCCGTTTGACCTGATCGAAATTCGTCGACGACACTCAACTTCAACTTCGTCGATCTACCCCCTTTACGGAAGATAAGTATTGATGAAAGGCACGAGGCACCCTGATTGGATCCATGTCTGAACCGGGCCAGAACATGTTGTACCGTGAAGTTGTTCTGGGACGACAGCATGGTGCTTCCCAGTACAACCACGTTGCGGTGGCGAGGGCAATAACTAGACAACCCGCTCCAAGAGCAGAAACAGAAGAGAGGGAAGAAGGTCGAGCGAACATGTGCAAGGATTCCAGGAGTCTCCACGAAAAAGAACAAGCTGAGACTGAGTTTCAAACACACTTACACCATGGAGAGAAAGGGGGAATCCTCAGAGCCCTCAAGGGTTGTGAAGAGAAGTCGGATGTTAATGAGGCAGGTTAGGAGGCAAACGTTGGAAGGGAGCGAATGCGAGGAGGGTGAATTGTACTGGCATAGCTGTGATCGACCTTCTCTTTGAAGCTTACGTTTGCTGTTAGTTTTGGATGCATCACGGCTAATCTCCCTCTTGTCCTGAGATCGTGCCTGTTCAGCGGAAAGGAAAAGTAGAAAGGTTTGTAGTGCGACGAGGCAGATTGGCAAGACTATTGAATGCGCTTCGGATTCTCTAGTTTCACCGTTTCAGGTGCCGCATTAGGTGCCATGCCGCAGTGGAAAGTTGCTTGAATCAAGCCACCCATCAACAATGCTCCGAACCAGTTCCTGCATCTCCGCTATCGAATTGTCAATAAAAATGCCTGGACGTATACCTTCCTTCCAGCGAGCCGTGCAACGACTAGTTGCTCAGCCTGCGTCAAGCAGTTGCAGATCGATCCACTGCCGGACGATGCCTGTTCGAACCAGACCATCTCCCGTTCAATCGCAGCAGCCACGGCGATATGCTCTGTCATCGCAATGTCTACAGACGCGGCCTTTCTCATCCTCCAGCCCGAGATTGAGAGCGGGAGACAGATCGCACCAACGCACAGGCGTACGTATCTTTATCCGGGGTACGTGTCTTCCTCTGACGCTTTCGGTGTGCAGCCATTCTCATTCAGATCAGCGGCTCTCTTCGTCGGCGTCGGCGCAGGCATGATATTTTACTTCCAGTTCGAGAAGAAGAGATTGGAGCGTAAGAGAATCGTGGAGATGAGCAAAGGATATGGGAAACCGAAGGTCGGCGGCCCATTCGCATTGAAGGATGTAGATGGGAATGATTTCACGGACAAGGATTTGTTGGGCAAGTATTCACTCGTATGTTCCCCTCCTGGTCAAGACATGGAGTGCCTCTCGAAAGCTCACCTATGCTTTTGTTTGGCAGATCTATTTCGGGTTCAGTCATTGTCCGGATATTTGCCCTGACGAGCTCGACAAAATGGGCGAAGCCCTCGATATTATTCAAGAGAGAGCCCCGAACACAGTACGGCCGATCTTCATCTCCTGTGATCCCAACCGCGACACGCCCGAAGTCCTCAAAGCATACTTGGCCGAGTTCCATCCCGCCATCCTCGGATTAGTCGGTACATGGCAGCAGACAAAAGACGTATGTAAGCAATATCGGGTATATTTCTCTACGCCGCCAGAGTTGAAGCCAGGTGAAGAGGACTACTTGGTGGACCACAGCATATACTTTTACGTGATGGATCCTGAAGGCGACTTTGTCGAGTGTATTGGAAGGCAAGATACCCCTGAGAGTGCGGCGGCCATTGTGCTGCAGCATATCAAGGATTGGAGAAGAGAGAGGAAGCCAATTGATACGACGCCACTGCCGTATCTTGAAAAGAAAGAAGCTGTGCCTGGTGGTAAGCAATGAGCTGAGCGCTGCCCGCCTCCCATTCTCTCTTGTACGGCATGGCGACGGACGAAGGTGATGGTGTAAACAAAACTCCACTTCTGAGATACTGTACCTTGATACTCATGATGAAAAGAACAGAGATGTATCACAACAATGAAAGAGCAATCGGATGAGAAAAGATCTACAGGTGTACTGTCTCATGTCCACCATCCGACCCTGGCTGGACACAGAACCAAGATGACGCCGTCTCTGATCTTGCATATACCCAGCATCCAATCCCATTGCTTACCAGCCACTTCATTCTTGTTGTCGGGTCGTGAAGTTCTTCATTAGGAAAGTCTGATTTCTGAATCAGGGCAATCCATATGCAAGCGAGGGTTTAGACATACAAACACCGCAATCCGATCCGTATGAGTGGAAAGGAAGGGGATAAATGGCAGGCGGTGAAGCATAGACGTGGCTCCATTGAAGATGGCTGAAGACGCCGTTTTTTGCAAAATTCGGATGTTTTTTTGCTTTGGACTTTCTGGTTTCTTGTGTGGGGAGAGTTTTTGCGCGAAGCGATGTTGCATTATTTTGGTAGCGAATGAAAAGGCATCGCTCAGTCGCCTCACAATGACGGGAGAGTGTGGTTGGGCAGGCTGTCCAAGACGTCTAACGTCAGCTATTCGCTGTCAAGAAGCGGAACGGAGAGGCAGGGAGATGTCGATTGAAATGTCTTCATTGGCGTTCCTTTCTGCTCTTCTTTTCCTAATAAGCAGGTGACAGGCACGATGGAGTTGGATCAAGAATGGGCAGGTGTGAGCTGGACTTTGGTGAGTGGGATGCGGTTTGTTTGCGGTGGTGGGATGAAATATTTTTCACCATACATAATAATATGACGTACCTCCGCATCCAGGAACAACTGCACTGCTAAAGAAGACGTCGCTCCCATAGTTTCCGCCATCAGCCAGAACCTTTCGCCGCATACGAGTTGGAACGGGGAGAAATAATGACTTGACTTATGGACATGATCTCCACGATGAGTGCATTGTGAAGGTCTGGTATCGTCCATTTTTAATTCCAGTGCGATAGAAGTGTTGCTACCCGATATTACCCAAACCTCACTTCGACGGACCAACCATGCCGACAGACACCTCATCCCTCGTGACAAACAGGACAGATGCGTCCTCGACGCTACCCTCGTCTTCTAAACCCGCAGCCATCTCTGTTCTCAACCCGTCTAACTTCCCTCAATCCCTGTCCTCCGAAACCATCTATATCTCACTCGTTTATGACCCTCTCGACATTCCAGCGTACTTACGCTTCACCCGCTCACCCACAGCTGGCGCCAACGTTTTGTTTCTGGGCACCACTCGCAACAACTTCGACCATCGCCCTGTCTCTCGGCTTTCATATTCTGCCTATCCTTCCCTGGCCTTGAAATCTCTCTACGCCATTGCTGAGGATGTACAGAAGAAGCATGGGCTAGAGAAAGTCGTCATTGTTCATCGACTGGGCGAAGTCAAGGTCGAAGAGGAGAGCATTGCTGTTAGCGTGAGCAGTGGGCACCGTGCCAGCGGCTGGAAAGGCGCTGAAGAGATCCTGGAGAGAGTCAAGGCTCGAGCAGAGATCTGGAAGAGAGAGTGGTTCGCGGATACTGGAGAAGTCGAAGAAGGTGTTTGGAGAGCAAACAGAGATACGGACGGGCACGGCAATCTTGTACAGCCACAGTAATGCCGCCTCACGTCCGCGGGGATCTATGCTAGTAGCACGCACTCCAGTCTTTCCCTACGCTGCATCGGAACCGCGTGTTTATTTTGCTCTCAGATGTGATTCTTGCGGAGTGCTAGGTGCACGATTCACTTGTGGGGTCCCTGCGCAGGAAGCGTTCGCAATTAGCGACCTGGGCGTTTTCGACCGCCAGCCAGTGTCGCCACATGTCGAGAGCGGGATGACTGCCCCGTACATTTGGGCTGTCGATGAACACCGCAAAAGAAACTTCTTCAAGCCCATCTACGCGGCCGAGGCCTAAACAGGTTTCTCGACCGTGTTAGCGAGCTAATGACCGACCTGAAGCATGCAATACGCGGGGATGGGGGAGAGAGGTCGATAAGGAGCCGATCCAACTCATTAGTCCATGTCTCAAATCGAGATCATGCGAGCAGGCAGCATTTGCTCAAAGGCGGGAGCCTAATGCTAGACTTTGCGCTTCTTGCGAAAAAGATAAAGCAAATGGCTGGAAAAACTCAAACATGACGAAGCTATCTGCGCTAGAGCGGGGATCCAAATATCAGGTGGCTGGGAGAATCGATAAGAAAACCTGTGGATTGCGGGGGTTTGTTGGCGGAACCAGGGGAAGAAGTTGCGGCGACAACTTACAACGGTGACGATATGTGGCTTTTCGAACATCCAGCCCTGGTTGACCTACTCAGCATGTACCGCGCGCCTGCCCAAAGCCACCTCGAAAATTCCCGAGTCTGGGTGATTAGCGAAGATCCATGTGGTCACCGGTCAACGAACCCCTTCCTACGTGGGCGGCAGAGTCTAGCCACTACTCCGTATCGATACTCGATTTGAAGGAACTTGGAATAATGCATTGTCAACATTCCTGCAAAGTTATTATTGTCGGAATGAAATTTCAACTGTCTCACTCCCCTTAGTGGAGGTTTTCAAAGTTTCCGTGAACTTAAACCTTCGTGGAAGGGCTGGTGATGGTTGAGTCGATCGTTGCTTGGAAGAGATCCACTGGACTCAAAATACCCCCAAGTGCAACATTCTCGATCGCCAACGAAGTTCCCTTGGACGTGTTCATACCTGCATATGTCCTCCGGATGTGCGGGTGGGATACCGAAAGAGAAGTCACATGGTCAATTCCAGAAAAAGGCGTTGCTGCAGTCTTCCGAAGCTGAGACACCCTTTGATAACGGCAGACGGCACGGGAGACCGCTATTCATCCCAACGGCAAATGCTCGAGCTGTCTTTTGCGACTAAACGGGGCATGTGTGAAGCCCAATCCAAAGCGATGATACCTTTATTCAAATCTCTGTGTTTCAATAACGTACGACAGTC